CCCTTCCTCCGCTCACCCTTCATCTCACTCTCTCTTACTCCTTGTAGCCGCCAGAGGGGATAGACATGGATGTCCAGCGTGTTGCATGGGTAGAGTTGGGGGATACAAGAAGAATAGAGGACTCCATAAAGATTTCCCGCTAAATTTTTTGTACTCAGCATCATCCTATTTTTTATTTTAACTGATATATCCAAATTTTCTATATTTTATAAAATGACATTAACAACGCTTCTTCATCTCAAAATGGATAGCAACTGCATCAGCATTATCAGCCATCACATCCAATCCCATCTCTGCCTCTCTCTGCCATGCGCCTGCGACTGCGCCCACCACCTCACCCCGCTACTCAATGCTATTATGTGTTCACAGTATGGTCAGACATAAACTAAACATCGTGACTTGTAAAATACTCGCCCATTAAGAAATGAAATATGCCTACTAAATAGTTTTTCTTTAGTTTACATTAGTGAGGCCTCACATGAATATTGCTTTGTATCAACAAAAACTCCATCATACAATAATTAAGGGAGGTAGGCTACATGCTTGTATTTCACCTCAGAAAGGATTAAAGAATCGTCTTCAACATAAATGCTACCTGCCAAATAAAAGACATGATACCCGCAAAATAAAAGACATGCTGAAGAGGAAGGTTGTAGTTACATATGATGCCATCTAATACTTGTATATGACCATGATGTAGTAAACGCTCTACAATGTTGAGCTCATTTTTGACGTTGAACTTGTTGATATCATCCCGCAGATGTTACACCATTCACAAATGCAAGAAAAGCTTAAGGCACTGAAATCAGCTGAGGTGATATAGAACCGATGAGTACAAATTAAATGACATAGATGTCGTATGAATCGGGTTTCTCACCTTGAGGCAATGGTTGAGCATAGAGGTGAGCTTGTTGATGACCTTCCTACAGATCTTGAGGGCAGAGCCACCGACAGCATCCTCTAACGACATCTATGCTCATCGAAGTCGGTAGCGTTCTTCGTGCGCTGCTCAAGGTGAGCGG